GGGGCGGCGCGGTGGCGGGATCTGGCGTCGTCCGCTCGGCCCAGATCTGGGCCCTTCGGGCCCCATCTGGGCCTGGGCGGGCCGGCGGCGGGGATGGCTCCGGCGTGGCTTCTGGGAGGCGGGGGAGATGCGACGAGTGGCTGGGCGCCGGCGGCGACGACGCCGGCTTGCTGCATCGCGGCCGGCGGGGCTTAACGGGCCTGCTTTGGGCCTGGCTGGGCCGGGGGTGGCCCGGCATGCCCCGCTGCCGCGTCCGGACGGCTACCGCGACGGTGCCGGAGGCACGGGCCTCCCGCACGACGGCGGTGGAGGTGGTTCCCTCCCGCCCGGCGTCGGTGTTGCTGCTCCCGTCATGGTGAGCTTCTCTCCGGTCCTCTTGGCCTCGTGGTGGTGTTCGTAGTGAGGCGGCGTGGGTGGCGGCGCTACTGCGTTGGCGCATGGTGGTGGGCGACGGTTTGGCGGGTGGGTTCCGTCCGGTTGGGAGGTTGGGGTTGGTATGCGGGAGAAATCCCTGCCGGCTTCGGCCCCGACGCGGTGACACCTGCGGGTGCCACCATTCCTTCCTGGAGGGTGTCGGGAGTTTCCACCCCCACCTCCCTCCGCGTGCCCGGGGAAACCTGAGGACTCGTCCGGGCAGCAGCGTCGCCGGCGTCGCATCCCTTCTTGGAGGTGCTGCTTGGTACGCGGCGGATCGGAGCCTTGGTCTGTGGTGATTTATTTCCGGTGGGCGCCGTGGTGGCGGGTCGTCCGCGCTTTGCCAAGCTGCCGTGGTTGGCATTTGTTTCTTCTTCTTCTTTCTCCTGGTGTGTTGTGCTGCTCGCCACAGCGTTATCTGTACTCGGTGTTGGTGCTTTGGAATACAAAGCGGGGGGAAACCCTTTTTCGGTAAAACTCTCCACTTTTAACTTCAGAGGAAGAGAACGCCATCATAATCCATTGCAAGTCAAAACACATACTGACATACCAATTGGTTATACATTCAAAAATCATGTCTTCTCTTTTCTTGTGCTGCTAAAATTAAATCGAACGATCCATTTCTCAGAGAGAGAAAACAGGGTGAATAATCCAACATACACCGACACAGTTCTTGATAGGAAATTGGATATCAAAAGCGAACTAGAAAGGCCAAGTTTTTGCACTGAACAATAACAGGGGCATTATTATTTTAGCACAGGTAACCACTGTGACATGCAAGCATAGATTCATTATGAAGATATTGCACATTAAAGAACAGATGAAAAACTCCACACTTAAAGAACAGATGAAAAAGTCCGCCTGTTTTTGTACCATTCATCGATAGCCTACTACAGACTGAAGCTAGAAGGGGAATAATAAGCGGGGAAACCCCATTCTCTGCTCCTTATAACATTGTTAGGAAGCAAGTGGCTTCAAAGAGAAACAAAAGCTATGATTCATCTCAGCCTTCTCCCTTTTCGATTCTTCCCTCGAGAAAGAGTCTCAGATTGCGGCAGATGACAGGCCAGAGGATTTAGGCTCCTGATTCAACTTGCCCACGTGCTTGTGAAATACCTGAAAGCTTAGCATAGCGAGATTGCAAACAAGTGCTCATGTGCAAACAATTACTGTAGTCCTCGTAAACTTCGGGTCAAGGCACTTGCTGCAAACTTATCAAAGTAGCAGGCTAGCAATTGAGCACAAGCTTAAATAACAACTCCTATTCATTGCCAGTACGGAATGGGTTCCATTTTATGAGAGCGAACAGCATCAACAATATAGCGATCAAGTTTTGAACACAGGTCACTAGGAGGTTTGACTTCAATGTCAAGAACAAAGGAAAACAAGAGCAGCCAACAATTTTATTCCTTTGTGAACCTTCCGAGAGCAGGTATCTAGCGAAATTACCTCCTCATGATCCGGAATTACTCTCATCACATAATTATAGTCCTCACTGGCCAGTGGCCAAAGTGTTCTGTCTACTTTATATTTGTGTAAAGCTTATCTGGAGCTTGGTTGGGTAATTCAAAGAATGAGCAAATCTGAAATCTAAATTGTAAAGCTAAATAAGAGTTCAACTCCAGCATAAAAAGAAGTCTTCACATTCCAGTCATTGGAAAAAATTGTAAGGTCCAAGGCATGTGGGAGGGAACGGACTCACACCAAAGAAAAAATTTCAGAGGCCAATGCAATGTAAGGGGATCCCAGGATGCGAGTGATGTTCCTGTTATCGATATTGCATAGGTAGCATATGAATATGGAAGCGCTGCTGGCTATTTTGTCCTGCTTGAGAATGAACCCTTTAATATTTTGAATGGTGCTCCTCTCTCTTCTTTTTTCAGTATGTGAGAGAGAGGCCATTGCTGACGAATATAGCTCTTGAATCTTCATAATAATGAATTTTGCAGGGTTGATGACAATAAAACACTTTGGAGTTTTCTCAAACTTTGATGACTGCTTACAGAATAATCAACTACTATGGAATAGTGAGTGATGCGCTATATAGGTAGGTATGGTGTGAACAAATGACAGAAATGGTTTAATTTCTGAGATTTTGTGATATTCTGATGAAGGAATGCAATGCCCAAGAGGCAAGCAAACATAAAGTTGAGCAAAAAGAATGACTGGCTTTCAAAGACTTCAGACTAGAGGAACATCGAACTTAACAATACACACTAAATATTCAGATTGCAATAATCAAGGCTCATGAAATCTGCTCTGCTTTTGGCATTGGTGGGATAGAAAAAATACTCCAGATCAAGAAAAGAATAAAATCACCTTCACCATACTTAACTCAGGAGGTTCTATGAATAAAAATTAGCAAGCTCGAGTCTTTTTGCTGAATCAATGTTCATCAATCACCTAGTAACACGGGTTCTCTACTTTTACGACTATATGTATCAGCTGAAAGCTCTCTTGTGTTATTTAATTCAGCATGGCAATGAATTCAGAGATTATGAGCGTGCTCAAAAGGTAGATTGCCAACTTATCAAGAAAGCAGCAAAAGTTCTCTAACCGAGGCCTCATGAGACAATAAGAGTTTGACAATTGCACATTGAATACAATCCAGGATAGCCAAGGCGGTCATGAATTTCGGCACGGGGTTGCTAACCTTTCCGCAGACCTGTTGCTGCTTCCTTGTTGAATTCCAAAGTTGTCCACGGGCCACATCTGTTAAGCAACCAAGAAGCTTAGTTCAATCTAAAAAGTTTGGAACTTAAGATAAATACATAAGTTATCTTTTGGACTTCTATATGGATGCAAAAGGAGCACACTGGCCGTACCAATTGGTAACAAAAGGAGATCTGAATTAGTTGCACGCAAGCACTGATCTGATACGAGGGGTGTTCTTGTAAAGTTCCTGCATTCATTAAATTTCGTTAAGCAACTACAATTATGATGAACGCAAGAACACCTTCTATCGACATCGGTGTAACACCGAATTTAAAACAAACCGCAGACCTTAATTTCAGTAGGAAGTCACTGGATCTCCTTGCTTCCACTATTATGCCATGGTGATCTTTTCACCATCATAGCCAAATAACCCAAGCACAATATCAAGTCATCACTAGGGACGACCATATTGTAAATGCAAAGTATCTAAAGAGCAACCAGAATGAGCAGAAGAACATCTGCACAGGAAAGAAAATATGTCGAGTATACATGATAAATTTCGGTGAGTGAGACAAAGGAGCCTTGAAATGGTATTAGCTATACAGTGAACATTTTGAATTTACCCATACTAACCAGATTTATGGGTTTTCATGTAGGATGAATATACCACACAAGACCCTCGTGTGCCACTTATGTGTGTATGTAGAAAATTTTGCAAGGCTAAAAGAATGTACAACTCCAAGATGGAGCCCTGCAAAGTAAATAGAATAAACATTTTGCTCAGACTTCAGGTTGTGAAGTAATGAGGTAAATCAAACGAAAATTTTGACTTGATACATCGGATTAGGAAGAAGCAAGGTAATACTGTGCAATAGTTTCTACGGAGAGTTAACTGTAATATTACATACACATACCATAATTCTCATTTATGCTTAGAGGGAGGTGCCACTCAAGACTTTGACGTCAGAACAGTGGTGGCGCTAATGCAGAGAATTGTACAAAGATGGAAGAATTTACAACCCCGTGCCTCAGCCTGCACACTGCACAGTAAAACAAAGCCACACTGTTCAGACTTTTGCAACAACAACAAGAAACAAACTGGGGAAAGAATTGATGATTAGTGTTGGGGATTGTGGATTTAAAACAAGGAGTATTTGTATTTTCAAGTTGGACTCTTATAATCAGCAAACCATGTACTTATGTTTTTACAATAATCAGCAAACCATATACAGGATGATTAATTATACATGTACTAACCAGCATTACGTGCAGGATGGGAGAAACAAACTGAGGCCAACATGCTTGCATACGGAGAGAACTGTAGGAGGCTAGAAGAATATGCAGGTCAAAGAACTCTACAAAGTAGATTAAAACAAGTTAGTCGTTTTTTCAGATGAAACAGCACTAACTGCAATGAACCAAAGGAAACAGCTTCGATGCTTACAAACTTTGGGAAAAGCATTTGTTTTTGTTCTGACAATAGGAATGGTTCCTATCAGCCTGTGGCAATCCCTCTTTAGCTCCTTGCTGTTGCTAGAGCTGACATCTAACTTTAGCATTGAACTTGGAAGGCCATTCTTGGGCAGCGACTTGATGGCCTCACAGTATGTGATCTTCAGCTTTTCCAGAGAGCTCGGGAGGCTATTCGGCAGCGACTTGATGGCATGACAGGACTCGATCTGTAATTCCTGCAGAGAGCTCGGAAGGCTGGGCAGCGACCGTATGGCCGAACAACCATTGATTTTCAATTTCTTGAGATTGTTAAGGTTGTGTAGCCCTGCAGGGAGGCGCTGCAGCTTGTCTCCATCGAAAAAAAAAGAGCTCCTGGAGGGAAGTGAGGAGCTGAAGGGCCTCCTCTTGCTCCTCTGTCAAGTGCTCCACCTCCGCGTCGAATCTGAGGTCCAACTTGGTGAGGGTGGAAGTGGAAGAGAGGAGGCTGCAGATGGGCCCAGCAAGGACTCCTGAGCAGATGTTAATATTCAGATGGAAGAGCTTGCAGGACCGGGAAAAAACCTCTTTGTCATGCGGCCTTGCTGGATGGGAACCAAGGAAGAGATCAGAGTCAGCACGGATATTTAATGATGTGAGGCTGCCGTTGGCGAGGAGAGGCCATAAGCCCTCGGCTCTTGGACCCCCCTCCCCCTGTGTATCCAAGTCTAATCTGGTGAGAGAGGTGAGGTTTGAGAAGGCTTGCATCGTCTCCACGTGCTTCACACCACTTAGGGCCTGTTCGGTTGACAGGGAAAATGGAGGGGGTTGGCAGGGATTGGCAGGGATCACACCCTCTACAAGTCAAAACCTCCTCCAATCCACCCCAATCCCCCTGTGAGGAGGTGTAACCGAACAAAGCCTTAGGGTGAGGTGTTGGAGGCAGGTCGAGGTCGGGAAAGGGAAAGAAGAGGAGGACGAGGACGAATACGAGGAGAGGAACTCAGGGCATCTATATACAAGCAATGTGCGGAGGGAGCGGAGACGTTGGAGGCCTCCTCCTCTTCCTTCTCCTGCTGCTGCTGCTTCTGTGTTGTGCGATGGATTGGGGAGTAAGCTCACCTTCAGGCAATCTGAAATCATCAAATACTGTAGGTGGGGAGGCAAGAGCAGCAGTCCTTCTGCCGCCACTGCTGTTATTATTTCGTCCTCTCCAACTCTTGTCTGTTGCTCCTGCTCTCCAGCAACAGTTTCTGCCTCCTCCGCCACACCCAACCCACTTATATTCTCACACTCTATTATGTACAATCTGTAGAAGATGTGGAAGCGTCTCAACTCTCCACCAGGGAGAGCCCGCAGCTTATATTGATTGAGCGAGGGGAGTCTCGCGAGAGGTACAGAGGGTTCGGTTGGGATTCAACCAACTAGAGATATTACAGGAAGAGAGATAGGGATAGAAAGTTAAACAGAAAAATAACTCTATCTATGGCGCAAGACAACTCCTTGCTGCCATCTATATCCCTACAATATCTCATGTTTAACACCCTCTCTTAATCTAAACTTCTCGAGTTTAGATTACGCTTGAACTCTTCAAACGGCCTTGTAGCCAAAGCCTTTGTGAAGCCATCTGCAACTTGATCTTTTGAAGGGACAAACCGGATCTCCAACTCCTTGCTTGCAACCCTTTCACGAACAAAATGATAATCAATCTCAATGTGCTTGGTTCTTGCATGGAAGACCGGATTAGCTGAAAGATATGTGGCACCAAGATTGTCACACCAAAGACATGGAGTTTGTATATGATATATTCCAAGCTCCTTAAGCATAGATCTGACCCATATAATCTCGGCTGTTGCATTGGCCAACGCCTTATATTCTGCCTCAGTACTTGACCTAGAGACAGTTGCATGTTTCTTGGCACAACATGAGATGAGATTAGGTCCAAAGAAAACTGCAAACCCACCTGTGGACCTTCTGTCATCCAGACATCTTGCCCAGTCAGAATCAGAAAATGCACTAACAAGTGTTGAGGGTGACTTGCTGAAAGTGAGGCCAACACCCAAGGTGTGCTTTACATATCTCAAGATGCGTTTGGCAGCAGTCCAATAGCCTGAAGTAGGTGCATGAAGAAACTGACACACTTTATTGACTGCAAAAGAAATATCAGGCCTGGTGAGTGTCAAGTACTGGAGTGCACCTACCAAACTCCTGTATTTGGTGCCATCCTCTGGACTCAGAGGAACCCCTTTGGCAAGAGACAATCTTTCAGAACTGGAGAGTGGTGTTGGAGATGGTTTGCAGCCCTGTAACCCAGCCTTGTTCAAAAGATCAGATGCATATTTTTCTTGAGAGAGATGGAGACCACCTTCTGCATTCCTTTTTACCTCAATACCAAGGAAATAATGAAGATCTCCAAGATCCTTAAGAGCAAACTCTGAGTTCAAATCCTTCAAAAGAGCTATAATTGCCTCATTGGACGAGCTAGTGACAATGATATCATCCACATAAATGAGTACAAAGATAGCTATCTGTGACTTATGGTAAATAAACAGGGATGTATCAGACTTAGAGGGAGTAAAACCAAGGGTGTGCAACGTAGAACTCAACTGAGAGTACCAGGCACGTGGAGCTTGCTTGAGTCCATAAAGAGATTTGTCAAGCCTGCAAATGTGAGATGGTTTATGTTTATCCTCAAACCCAGGAGGTTGCTTCATATACACTTCCTCTTCCAGAACACCATGAAGAAACGTGTTCTGCACATCTAGCTGGCGAAGGCTCCATCCTCTGGACACAGCAATAGACAAAACAAGGCGGATGGTGGCAGCTTTGACAACAGGACTAAATGTGTCCTCGTAGTCGAGTCCATACCTCTGTTTGAACCCCTTGGCAACGAGTCTAGCTTTATACCGATCAATTGTACCATCAGACCTGTGTTTTATTCTGTACACCCATTTGCAATCAATGATATTACGACCTGGACGAGGAGGAACAAGATCCCATGTATGATTTTTCTGGAGGGCATGAAACTCCTCTTCCATTGCCATCCGCCACTTAGGATCAGCTAAAGCCTCATTAACGGTGCGAGGTTCACCTGTGGGAACAGAAGAAACTAGGCCATACTTAGTTTTGTAGTTGACCTGTTGTATGGTGCCGTCACGAAGACGTGTACGAGGATGCGTGGAGACGAGCAGTGGTGTAGCCGCAGAGGATCCAGCAGCATCAGCAGCACCAGACCCCGCTGGATCTGCTGTGGCAGAACGGGCCGACGGAGAGACGGGCGAGGCCGCAGAAGATCCGGGTGGAGGGACAGGATCATCATCGGATCCAGCAGCGGGCCCGTCTGGCGCGCCTGGCGCAGAGGACAGGGTGGCCCGCGGGAGGCGCCTGGAGTACGTCTGTGGGACCGGCGCATACCGCACGGTCGGTTGGCTCCCTGTTGCTGATTGGAGCGCGGCGCCCGCGGAGCCCAGTGCGGAGGCAGGACGACACGCGTCTCCTGAAGAGAGGCGCGGGGCGGGAGATGGTGGAGGGCCCCGGGCCGGCTGACTCAATGGCAATCCCGAGGGGATGCGATCGGATCGGACGTAGCCAGCCGGGTCGATCCCGAGGCTGATTCCACCGGATCGCCTGCATGCACGCTGGAGCTCCCTGATGCACCATTTTCTGCGTCATTTTCTTCGCTGATTCTGCCTGGAACAGTAAACTCAGGGATAACAGGAGATATATTAGTCATATTTTGGTCAGCGCAACTATCATCACCCGCACACGAAACGCCGGAAAGGTGAGATGGGAGAAGAAGGATCTCTTTCCTAAGGAGGGCGCCGGCATTGGGGTGTAGACTTGCAAAGGGAAACTGAGTCTCATCAAAAACGACATCACGTGAGATGTACACACGACCTGTAGAAACATCAAGGCACTTGACACCTTTGTGTTGCGCACTATAGCCAAGAAAAACGCACTGTTTGGAACGATACATGAGTTTTCGAGTATTATATGGACGAAGATTTGGCCAACATGCACAACCAAAAACACGAAGGGCGGTGTAATCTGGTGTGATATGAAGAAGACGTTCAGTGGGAGTTTCATGAGAAATAGTGCGACTGGGCCACATGTTAATAAGATGAACAACGGTGAGAAAAGCCTCATCCCAAAATTTAAGAGGCATGGAGGCATAAGCTAATAAAGCCAAGCCTACTTCGACAATATGTCGATGCTTTCGTTCAGCAGAGCCATTCTGCTGATGCGCATGTGGGCATGAAACATGGTGAGAGATACCTATCTTTTGAAAAAAAGAATTGAGTTTCTCATACTCACCATCCCAGTCGGACTGTACAACAATGATTTTACTATCGAATTTTCGCTCTACAAGAGCTTGAAAGTTGTGGAACACTTGAAACACAACGTTACTTAAGAAGATAAATCCATGTATATTTGCTAAAGTCATCAATAAAGCTTACATAGTATTGGTGTCTACCAACGGAGGTGGGTGTTGGACCCCATACATCAGAAAAGATGAGTTGCAAAGGTTTTGTAGAGACACTAATAGACACAGGATATGGTAATTGATGACTTTTAGCACGTTGACAGGAATCACAAATTGTTTCTGAGTTTCTCTCACCAACAACTGGGAGATTATTATTACTAAGAATACGATGAACCGTAGCAAATGAGGGATGTCCTAAGCGATTGTGCCACCGTTCAGCAGAAAGCTTGATGGCACCATAGGCTTGTTTATTGTATCGGCAATACTGCGGAAGCAAAGAGTAGAGGCCTTGAACACAAACACCTCTATGAAGTACTTTCTTCGTGACCTGATCCTTGATCAAAAAAAGAATGGGTGAAACTCTAGAAAAAAATTGTTGTCAAGGGCAATACGATGAACAGATAACAAGGTTTTGGAAGCATTGGGAACATGCAAGATTTCATTGAGCTCAAGATTTTTGTGTGGGGTTTTGATAAATGAGTGGTCAATATGACTTATCTCCATACCTGCACCATTCGCGGCGGTGTAGACTTGATCATGGCCACGGTATTTTTCATGCATTGTCAGCTTCTCCAATTCACCAGTGATATGATTTGTGGCACCTGTGTCCATATACCAATTGGTATCGACACCATGGGATACATCAGTTGCAGCTGCAATTTTCTTGCTTTGGGAGTTAGGATCATCGGCATAGCGCCAATCACAGTCCTTTGCAAGATGATTTGTTTTCTTACAGATTTGGCAGCGTCTCTCATAACCATCATACCCTTGGAAGTGACGCCCTTTGTTGTTGTTGCTGGGAGGGCGCCTAGCGTTGTTGCCGCCACCAGAAGGGTTCTGATGATAGTGGCCGCCACCACCACCACCATAGTGGCCTCCTCCTCCATTGTTCTGATGGTAGCCACCACCAGAGCCGCCGCCAGCGATGCCGTTGTAGCCACCTCTGCCGGTGCCATAGTTGTCGCCACCAGAGGCACCATAGCCACCACCGTTTCCGCGGGAGCCACCACCACCACCGCCCTTCTGGTTGCGGTAGCCGCCCTTGCCGGCGTTCGGACGACCCCGAGACGCAGCGTTAGCCGATGACTTGAAGCCACCAGCACCACCGCCATGAAAAATCTCGATCCGCTGATCGAAGTTCGCCACCATGGAGAAGAGCGCGTCGATGGTTACAGGTTCAGTGCGCACGTCAAGGGCGGAGATGATCGGTTGGTAGTCCATGTCCAGGCCCGCGACAATGAAGGAGATGAGCTCCCCCTCCCCGAGTGGTTTGCCCGCCGCCGCGAGCTCATCGGAGAGGGAGCGCATGTGCCCGAAGTACGCCGAGGCTGACTGAGTACCTTTCTGCGCGTTGGTTAGCGCAGATCGGATGTTGTTGACACGGGACAACGAGACGGCAGAGAACATAGTCGCCAATGCAGCCCAGATCGCATGAGAGGATTCAAGCGAGGCAACTTGGACAAGAACTTCTTTGGACAGGTTGCGGAGGAGGTAAGCGACGATTTGTTGATCCTGGATCAGCCAGGGGGCATAGGCAGGGTTTGGAATCACCTGGTCCTTGCCATCTTTGTCTTTGGTGGTGATGGTTTTGGGAGGCTCCTCTAGGGTTTGATCTAAATAGCCAAACAAGCCGGCGCCCATTATCTGGGATCGCGCTTGAGCTCTCCAGAGAACATAGTTCGTCTGGGAGAGGGGCTCGGAGGTGTTGTAGTTGAGGCCGGAGGTGACAGGGACGGTGGAGGATGACATGATGGGAGGGAGGTGATGGGAGATTGATGGAGGCTAGCTAGATGTGATGGAAGGGCCTGCTCTGTATACCATGTAGAAGATGTGGAAGCGTCTCAACTCTCCACCAGAGAGAGCCCGCAGCTTATATTGATCGAGCGAGGGGAGTCTCGCGAGAGGTACAGAGGGTTCGGTTGGGATTCAACCAACCAGAGATATTACAGAAAGAGAGATAGGGATAGAAAGTTAAACAGAAAAATAACTCTATCTATGGCGCAAGACAACTCCTTGCTGCCATCTATATCCCTACAATATCTCATGTTTAACACAATCTTGAGAGGTTGGGAAAGAAAGAGAGCAGCAGCGTCAATTCTTTCCAAATAGTTTCACACCTTCTGATCTCGACTTCTTCGACTGGAAACTGGTATGCGCCATGACACAGGTCACCTTCAACCGGCAGCAAGACGCTGCTGCTCACACCCTTTATCTCAATCCTCTTCAGAGATGTTAGCACCTGGAAGTCATCCAGCGGCAGGGGAGGCATCTTTTTCATACACAACTCTCGTAGATCAGTCAAGTTGGAGAAATTCAACACACTCCACAACACGTCAGCCCGACCACCCTTTCCCTCAATGCTCAATCTTAACCCCGATTCCTCATAGTACCCATACAACAGGTGCTCAACTGATCCCGTTTGTTTTATATCAGCAGAGCGCGGTGCATGAGTCCGCCAAGGGATAGGAGGCAACGACTCTAGTTTCGGGCAGTCTGCAATGACAAGCTTCTCTAGTCTAGGAAACCAAGACATTTTCTCCTCCCGCTGTGCTTCACAACAAGTAGGAGGATGTGAGAACGGCAACTCGATGAGTTCAGAGCAACCTCTAATGACGAGCACTTCCAAGTGAGAAAAGAGAGAACAAGGGCCATTTCCAACCCATCTTTTTAGACTAGATATGCCACTTAACCGTAGCGTTTTTAGATTATCAAAGCCTGCAGGTGTGATACTACAACCCTGATACTCTTTACCAAGCTCATCAACCGTCCAAATCTCTCCTAAAGGTGGAAGGTTTCTCCAACACACACCATCCAGACAAAGAGTTTCCAAACATTTAACCGAGAGATTCTCACATAGCCATTTTGGGCATTTAGTGCCCCCATGCCCACTAATGTACAACTCCTCAAGATTGCTATGTGGTACAAGACTTCCAAGAACATTTTGTTCCTTTACAGGATCCTTGTTAGGTCGCCTAACATTCCATCCTAATACAAGTCTTCTTAAGTGGTTCTTGTGCAACAGTTTGGATTCGTTCGCTTCCTCTTTGGTTTGCACATTTTCGAGATTATAAATGTGAAGTGATCCTCCAATCTCTGCCAATGGCCCTAGCTGGCTCAGTTCATAACCATTACTCTCCTTTCCCACTCTAAATAATCCTAACTCCTGGAGGAATTTTAGTTTTCCCACCCCATAAATGTCAGAATGGAACTGAAGTTTTTCTTCTGGCACAAGAAAATGACGCAATTTCACAAGGTTTCTCATATGTTTAGTTGAAAAAACACAATGCACCACATTTTGTAGATCAACGACCTCCAAATGATACAATCTAACTAGCGCATTTGGTAAGCACAAGTCATATCCCGACTTGATCCTTAGGTAGCGAAGATGGACAAGTTTTGAAAAGTTCTGCAATATGTCCTCCAAATTATACGATGCTTCGGACAAAAATATGACGCGAAGGGCTGTAGCTTCCTTAAACAATCCACCTAAAGTTTTGGTAAAGCTTCCATGGTAATCACCAAATAACATTAAAGTACGTAGGTGTTCAACTTTCAGCCGCTTATCTAGGGCACGTAAATTTCCATCGAGGTCTTCGAAAGACATCCTATCCTTTACATCCGTGTCATCTATGGTTATAGACAAGTGACGTACACACGGGGGGATTTCTATGTGCCTCATGCTAGAACTATAGATGCTAAGACATTCATACGATGAAACCTTCACTGCCAACTCATGCAGTAAGTCATGGATGCCATAATAAGGATGTCCATCTTCCTTTTTATTAATTTTGAAAAATCCATGATTTACCAAGTCTGTTAAATAGCACAGTCCAACATCTTCAAGTCTTTTTCTCTTCTGGTCACGTGAATGTAAAATATCTAGTCCAATCCAAAAGTGAACCAACTCTTTGCTACCAAATTCATAATCTTCAGGAAACAAACCGCAAAAAGAGAAACATTGTTGTAAATGGAAAGGAAGATGATCATAGCTGAGCTTTAAAGCTGGCATAATATCATTTTCATTGCTTTCCGATTCCCATTCTTTACTTTCCAGAACGCCTGTCCAGTGTTTCAATGTAAGTTTGTTTCTTAGTAATCTACCAACAGTTTTTGCCGCAAGAGGGGAACCTTTCAGCTTGTTCACTATTTTGCTGCCAACTTCGGACAATTTTGGATGGTTAACCCATGATTTTTGGTCACCAAACACACATTCTTCAAAGAAAGACTTAATATCTTTTTGACATAATCTGCCCAATTCTAGTGAGCATTCAGTTGTCTTAACCAGGTTTGCTACCTCGGGTATTCGAGTCGTGACTATAACCATGTTACCTTTTGCCCTGTCTTTCTTAAACAAATTTAATAGTTTTTCCCGCTCATTCTCATGATGTGTCCACACATCATCTAAGACGAGTAAAACCCTTTTTCCTTTTATTCTTTGCATGATACGTTCTTCGTCACTACAATTCTTTTCATTGTTAACTTTGGGGATCTTTTTCACAATATCTTTTGTCAGCCTATTCGCATTAAAGTCGAATGAGACACATACCCAAATGGAAACCTGGAAATGGCTCTTCATCTGTTCATATATGTGTTGTGTGAAAGTTGTCTTTCCAATACCCCCCGGGCCAACAATTGGAAGCACAGTAAGTTCACGACATTCACCCTTATCAATTTCATCCACAATAATTTGGTTTTGGATATCCCTGCCGTATAATTTAGGCTCTATGATTTCTGGGGTGGTTTTGGCTCTGTTTATTACAGCCTCTTGTCCAGGGGTACGACTCGAGCCCAGCAGCTCCAGATTAAGAATGGTGGAGACCATGGCACATACAGGTTTCAGCTGTTCTACGATGTCCCTTATTTTTGTAGACATTTCTACCCGATCAAACTTTAACTTTGGTATTTGCAAGGCATGATTCCTCTGCGGTGCCTTGGGGGAAAGCCAAGCGCCACAAAGAAATCGCTGCCCATTTCCACTCGTGTTGGTGGATTCCAACATGCCCTTGTTAGGATCATCATCGTGGACGGATGAAAAAGAATAGCATGGGAAGTGTTTACCGACAGTGTGCGCACCGCAGCTTCACGAGTGCTGGAGGCAACCTTTGGCATGCATCTGCCATGAATCTGGTTGGCGGGTGATGGTGGCGAGGAGCTAATCTCATGAACTCCACAAAAGCGGAAACCTGAGAGGTATCCTTGTTTTCCACCATCGTCTTGCTCAACCTTCCTGGCAGCACGCGAACACACGGGTAACTTGAGCTTATTCACACATGCTCTCACCGTGTGCCGAGCATTGAGGGCGAGGTCTTGGACGAAGCCTGCATCATGCGCATCGGCGGCATGGTAGGTGCCGTCGAGCTCATCTTGGATGCGGAAGTAGTCGAGCTCGTCCAGCACATCCTCGGCTCCATACGCGAGGTGCCGCAACTTGTCTAGCAGCTCGCCCAGGGCAGGGTTGTGGATCTCCCTGCCCCGGACGTTGTTCAGCATCGCCTGCGCGTACAGCAGCTGCATCTTCAAGGCCTCCATGTTTGATCCGAGCATGGAGCTTGCACTCCATGCCTCCAGCACGCCTCCAGACAGTGGGCTCAGAGCCTTGCCCACCACCCAGCTTGCTGCGGAGATGCCAACCGTCGCCATCAATCCCGGTAGATATGGATGTTATAGCCTACGGCGTAAACCTGCATATGAGATTAACCAAGAGTTCAACATCATACACAAGGTTGGAGAAGCCAGGCCGGCACATCGTGGAATCAGATTAATGTTGCAGGAGAACAGGGCATATATGTAGAGGGAAGACAAGATACATGTATGTGCGTACCAGAGGCTGTCCGGCCGTGCTCCTGCTTCGTGCTCGGACGGCAACGCTAAAAATGCAGTGTCACCAGTAGTGTTGATCTACTAGAGTGCTGGTATTGCACTGATGCTGCAAGAGGAGGAGAGGACTAGCTAGAAGAAAGGTCACTGGTGGAGTGCTGGGAGGAGCGCCATCTAGTGATGCCCCTTCCATGAACAAAGGGGAGGGAAATTTAAAGGCATCACAGCTTCACAAGGCCAGCTATGCTCTGACCTTAATTAGCACCACATGGCATGTCTCTCTGCTTTCATCCTGACGTAGACTTCCTACCCACCTTCCTGTTTCTCAGGACAATCAGTCACAAGCATCCAACGAAAACGGTACTGAGAAGATGCCGAAGGGGGCGCTAGCAGTTAAAGTGTCATCATTGCTTGTGCCCGCGTGATAAGACAGATGCAACAACTGCTGAGTGTGCAGCCAGCACACGTCTTCAATTCTAGTTGTCCTGAATCCCAACTGCATTGTACCTGATCAACAGAGCGGTTGCTTTCAGTGGATGGTGTGGCAATAAACACACCTCAACGAAATCAGCCTGCTCCACTTATATTTCAATTATATCACAACTACAAGACAGAAAGCGCGGCAACCACCTTTTCCAGCTTCTGGTAATCCCAGCGAGACTGGGAAAGTGTTCAGAGGTGATGGATGGTAAGGGATAACTGGCCTCTTCTCAGGGCATCAAAGACAAAGGCATATATTTGGCCTTTTTTTCCCGTTTCACTTATTTATTTATGGTGGTTCTCTCATCCTTGAATCCGATTAGATGGACTTTGGATTTTTAGCGCATCCGGCCACATGCAAGCTTGATAGATAGATGATGAAGTACCAAAGTGCTGCAAGTGAGAAAAGGCGCAATGTTCTCTGCAGAGTCTCTAAACCAATTAACTTGAGAAATTTAGAAATGAACGCATGTATATCCAACAAAACACAAACTGAACCTTTATGCAAAACACAGACACACACACACACACACACACACACACACACACACACACACACACACACACACACAAACTGAACCAGCTTAGTAGAAGAAAAAAGATCTATCTTGTATGAAAACCACGTCATTTCAAATTACATCGACCTTTGGTAGAAGAAAAAGGCATTGGATGACTATCTCTTGACCCTCTAAATACAACTCAACATACTATCCCTCAAGACTCCAAACAGGCGTAAACGCATCATGTGACATTGATATGTGCTAGCTAAGCACCTTTTTGTTATAGGAAAGTTTGTCCAATAAACAATTAGGTTATTGCTGAAAGTCCAAGGATCTCAACGACTCGAATTAACAATGGCGTACACCACAATAAATGGTGTGAGCTCAGCTTTCGGATCAAAACTCCTACTCACTAATTAATAAATACTGGAAACACCTCAGCATGGAAGAAGGCAGGGTTGTGTCCAGTAATCAAATGTTTAAGCATCAAAATATGCTAACTCAAAAGTTACGCAGTCAGATGAGCAAATACCAGCGTAAAAGATCACTTTGTTCGGAAAAACTACTCACCTATTGATATGGAAATTGTACAATCCCTTCACTGTTCCTCCTCCTTGATAGAAATCTTGCCGATAATTAAAATATGAATTCTGAAATTCCATTATTCAATGCAAAATCAGTCGCAAGCATCCAACAAAAATAGTACTGAGATAATGTCTACGCTAACAGTTGAAGCATCATGATTGCTTGTGCCCGTGCAGTATGATGAGATGCAACGACTGCTGAGTGTGCAGCCAGCGCACCTCTTCAATTCTAGTTGTCCTGAGTCCCAACCGCATAGTACCTGATCAACGGAGTGGTTCCTTTCAGTGGATGGTGTGGTGGGCACCGTGGCAATAAACACACCTCAACCACATCAGCCTGCTCCACTTATTTCATCCATATCACAGTTCACAACTACTAGATACAAAGCACGGCAACCACATGTTCCAGAAGCTTTCCAGACTCTGGTAATCCCAGCAACACTACATAGTGTTCAGAGGCGATGGGCGGTGAGAGATTACTGGCCTATTCTCTGAACATCAAAGAAAGGCATAGACTTGGCCTTCTCCCATTTCAGCTGTCCGGGCAAAGTCCGACCAGTTACTAGTTGTTATGCTGGTTCTGTCGCCCTTGCGGTAAGCAGGACTTCAACTAATATATTTCGGAACTTCACGAAAATACCAGAAAGTACTGCAAGTGAGAAAAGGTAATGTTCAGCCTTGCGCACATCTTTTGAGTCAGCATTTTTTTACGATGCTCCAGGCTACAAAGTTAGGCCTTGAGAAAGCGGAAGCAAACAAATTATGAGGAAAAGGCTGGAACATTTTTGTGTGCTAGTAGGAACTGCATATGCACTTGGTCAGTAGGTCTCTGAGATCACATGATTAAAAAAATGTTATTTACATACCGACAAAAGGTACCGTACAAAATGAGAAGGTGGGTGAATAAAGTTAAGAGCATGCATGATCTGAAGGATGAAGTTTGCAACGTCAAAATACAACAGACTGACAAGGCAATCATCATGCCAACTGTGGCACGGAAGCAACACAACAGAACAATAAAGATGGAGCAAGCAGCAATAAAAAGATAAACTAAATAGAATGGTCAGTAAGATCTTACATATGAAATTTTATGAATTAAAAGCAACTGCTTAAATTGTTGAGTACAAAAGGATGGATGTCTTAGGCACCACAATGTTCAGAAAAAATAGTTATGTTAGTATTTGAAGGGAAAATTCACATGTGAAGGACAAGGTGACCAATCAAAAAGTGAGATAGAAGGGGTCATATGTGTTGGATAATTAGCAACTGAGCCTTTACTGAGGGCCAAAGGCCAGTACATATACAGGTGTGGCAAAGTGCAGAAAAGCCCCTTATACAATGGGGATGTACACAATGAACTATACACATCTAACACCCCCCCCCCCTCAAACTCATGGTGGATCAACAACACTGAGTTTGGAGAGGAAAAATCTATGCTGCGCTCGAGTCTGTGCCTTCGTGAAGAAGTCGGCCAACTAGAACTCAGAGGGCCCATAGTGAAGAGCGAGAGTCTGATCCTGCATAGCAGCACGCACAAAGTGGGCATCCACACCGATGTGCTTGGTGAGCTCATGCTTCACCGGGTCACGCACAATACTGATAGCACCGGTACTGTCGGACAGGAGAGGAGTTGAGGTAGTAGCAGACACACCAAAGTCCTCAAGTAACCACCGTAACCAAATCACCTCAGCCGTCAACATAGCCATGGCTCGCAACTCAGCCTCTGTACTCAAGCGAGAAACTGCAGTCTGCTTCTTTGTCTTCCAGGCAATAAGAGAGCCACCAAGAAAGACACAGTAAGCAGACAGCAAGCGTCGATTAGAGGGATCACTAGCCCAGGTAGCATCAGAGTAGGCCTGAAGCTAAACCCGGGCATGGGCAGCCCGACCCGACGACCCAGCCCGAGCCCGGCCCGAAAAACCCGGGCTGGGCCGGGCTGGGCTTGACACTCGGGCCGGGCTCAGGCTTTGTTTTGCAGCCCGAAAGGTAGTTCGGGCCGGGCTCGGGCTTCTCTTTTTCTATTTTTTGGGCCGGGCTTTCGGGCTTCGGGCCAGGCTTGCACGTACACGTACTAAAAAACAACGTTTGGGCCGGGCTTTCGGGCTTCGGGCTTGAGTTCGGGCCGGGCTCGGGCTTCAAATCATGGAGTATTTCGGGCTTCGGGCCGGGCTCGGGCTTGAGAAATGAAGGCCGGGCTTTTACAAGCCCGGCCCAAAACCCGGCCCGGCCCGACGTTTGCCTAGGTTTACCTGAAGCTCAAGAGAGCCGGAGCAGGGAAAGAAAAGGCGCTGAGAGATCGTGCCACGAAGATATCGTAGAACACGGAGGAGGTGACTATAGTGGACAGAGGTGGGGGCTGAAACAAACTGACTCAGGATGTGGACAGGATAGGAGATGTCAGGACGCGTAACAGCAAGATAGACAAGGCTGCCAACGAGGTGACGATAGCGAGTGGGATTAGGAAGAGGGTCACCATCAGAGGCACGAAGCTGAACGTTGAGCTCCATAGGAGTCACAACTGTGCGCTCATCACCAAGAGCAGCGCGAGCAAGAAGATCATGAATATATTTTTCTTGGGAGATGTAGAAGCCATCAGGGGTTGAGGAGATCTCAATCCC